CAACCCCAACCCCCTTCAAACACCTCAATTTTATCCAAAACAATACCATAACCCTAAAAATGTATTTTTCTAAAATAAATCATATATTGATGAAAATAAATAAGTAAATTGCAATAAAAACGTAAAAATATTACTTGGAATTGAAGAAATTCGATCTGGATCCGTAAGCTCTTCGCTGGCCGTCGCTCCTCTATCTCTACTCACTGCAGATTTGGGAGAAGGAGACAAATTTTTTATTTAAAGTCAATCTGTTTGCGACGGAATTTTTCCGTCGCAGAATCCGTCGCAATGGTAAAATTAAATGCGAGTTTAGAGCAAAACGACGTTGTTTAGGGGAAAAATGTGAAATTTTAAAAAAAGGTAGCGACGGAACCACTCCGTCGCAGATTCCTTCGCAGATTCCATCGCAAACGAAAATGAATTAAATTAAAATAAATAATTAAGTTTGCAACGGTGGCTGCCGTCGCAAATGACGTCGCAGACAATTGGCGCCAAGTCTCCCGCCCCGAACTTTACGAGGATTTATAATTCCGTCGCACACTCCGTCGCCGAGATTTACGGTGACAATGTCTGTCGCAAATGCCGTCGCCGAGTACAACGGAAGTACAACCGTCGCAACTTTCCGTCGCAATTCTGCGTTTTTCTTGTAGTGTATGACAACCTATTTTTGTTGTTGCGTTGATGGTGCTGTCAACAATAACTATATGTTATGTTATTGATCCATGGTAATGTTAATTGTTAAGTTCTTGTGTTGTTTGTGTTTTTGTTGTTTTTCTTGCTGTTCTTGACGCTATTATTATTGCGTTGTTGTTGTGTGTTATTAACTATCATGTATTTCAGGCTCAATTCTTCGAACTGCGCGAGGAGGCTAGACAGAATGGGCTGCAAGTCACCGACGAAGAAATATGGTACTAGCTAGTTGAGGGCCATAACGCGAAAAACCGCGTTCCTGGAGTTGGTGACTACGAGCGGGAAATGAGGAAGATGAATCCGTCCTCCAAACCTCGCCGTTCCAGCACGAGTAATAGCACAGCGGAGATATCAGCACTCAAAGAGCAAAACCAAAGGCTGCAAGAACAAATTGATAGTCTAACCTCGAACTTGTCGCTAACGATTCAGGAGGAGATAAGGAAGCTATATGGTGGTAACCTTCCTCGACGAGGCGATGATGATGGAACGGGAGAGGCAGGGCAGCCCGGGATTTGTTGAGACATTTACGACCTTAGCTTCCTCCATTTTAAACACTTGACACTAACATTTTAGTATTTATTGTTAGAACATAATGAATTATGTTACATTTGCATTTGAAGTTTGCATTAATCTAGATTTGAATTATCAATTTGGGTGTTGAAATCTTGTTTGGAATTATGTGTGTGAAAATTAAATGTGTTTTGCCCCCCCACACCCCCCATTTTAATAGCTAGTGCCAAAAACAGGGAAATTCTAGTTCTGTGAACAGGTCATCTGCGATTGAAAATCTGTTGCTGATCTGCGACGGAAGGTTCCGTTGCTGAGTCCGTCGCAGATCTGCGACGGTTTATTATTTCCGTCGCAGATTTTGTTCGATGGAAAAATGAAAATACCGTTGCAGGCCCGTGGCAGATCTGCCACGGAATGTAAAGTCCGTCGCAGATTTTAAATCTGCCACAACTTTTCTACGACGGAAACACTTCGTAGCAAATCCGTCGCAAATTGGAAATCTGCCATGGAATTTTAAATTCTGCCACGAATTTTTTCCGTTGCAGATCAGCAATTTTCTTGTAGTGTTTTGACTATACAGCACCGCCGGGTGAAGCTCAAATTAAAGCATGTAAGACCAATGTGTGTGTATTACATATATATAAAGACTGACATTCCATAAATAGAGAAAATTTAAATAAAAAAAACCTTTGAGCTTATTGTCGGATTTCGAGAATCCAGGAAGTGCATTCTTGGAGGACTTGAAACCTTTGGTTGACAGCTACATTGGAGAAGACCTCCATTCTGTTGCGGAACTCAGACTGGTCTTCCTTGCATCTGAATGACCCGCCACACGCACAGTGGTCTGACAGATACGCGGCCTTGACCTGATTGCACTTGAGGCACACCATGTCCTGGAGATGGTACAACTTTTCCCTCTGCCGCACGATCTGAAGAAGACCGTTTTCCAATGCTTCCCTGTCGTAGGGTTGCCCGCACTGAGGAACAGCACATCGCCACTCCTGAGTAGCCAATGCTCCACCTCGACACACGTCAAGGTCTCTACAGTCATTGCAGTAACTGCCAGCCAGCATATACATATATATATTCAGCAATCCAATCACTTACTATTTTAAAAAAAACAAAAAAAAAATTGTTTGCTTGATTCAGAGTAAAAGTATTTCTTTTCTTGCTTTTTTTTATTACCTGCAGATGACATTTGGGAGGGTAAAGGAAGGAGACGGTTTTCGAAACTCGGCCTCTGGAGCAAATTCCTTCACGCGTACCAGTCTCAATAGATTTCTCCTCATGACCTGCATGCATTGCGTGACCATATCAAGTTAATCAAAATGATCTCTTAAAAAAGATAGACATATCAGTTCAAAGACAACAACAACAACAACAACAACAACCCAGTTAAATCCCACAAGAGTAGGGTCTGGGGAGGGTGTGTGTACGCAGACCTTGCCCCTACTCGAAAGTAGAGAGGCTGTTTCCAAAGAGACCCCCGGCTCAACGTCGAAAGTTGCATTGCTTGACTAACTGATACTTCATTAATTAAAGAAGAGCAGATAGTTTAGAGATCCATT